ACTGTGGCGGAGTGCCACAGTGGTCAAAGCAATGCGCACAACATCATTTTGCCTTCGACGTAAGTCCGCTTGAGCCACGCAGTCGGGTGGCACTTGTTCTTCTAAAAGGCACATGCATACTGATGGTTTGGGAAGGCATCCGAACAGAAACACACCGGTCACACTCTAAATTCCCAAAACATCAAGTACAAGGCATGTGGTCTAGCCCCTTCGCGCTCCAATGCTTTGTGCTGGAGAGCGGTTCCTTCTTCGACGATCGACCATCGGCCTGATCTCATAACGAACCTAAGATATTGACTCGGATGAGGCTTTGTCAAAGGATCGGCTAACATTGCTCGAGTATCTATCCATCTGACCTTGCCACTGGTTTCCAGAAGGTCCGCCTTGATCACCGCGATGTCAATCGCTGTCCTTTTGTCGCTGATGTAGGCGGTCGTACTGCTGCACTTGTTGGTCGCATCGTAAAGGCTCTTAGAGGCAACGGCTGCAAGAAAAGGTAGCCGTCGGGACTCTTCTCTCCAGTGGTCCGTCGTCATCATGCCGTAGAAGGCCTCGAGAAACATCAATCTGTGCCAGTGCACAGAGCCAATCCCTGACTGAAGTGCTTGGCCTTCCGCTGCTAAGGTGTCCACGGTCTTCCGTTTCAACCGGAAACTTTTCCATGCCGCCAGGGTTGTCATTTGTGGGGTGCTTTCCTCTGCCAGCTTACGGTGGTGGTAGATGATGATCTGGCCACCTTGACTACTAAGCTGCTGTAGCTGAACCAAGCTCGAATGAATTCGAGCTGCCGGGGTTCCTTGCTCGTCCTTGGCCTTGAAGAACGTTGTTCGCCCTCTCCAACATGACTCGGAGAGCACTCGGATCCCCTTTTGGTCGCACCACTCATCTTGACAGAGTTCTCTTGTTATCCTGTCGCCGTCTTGGATGTAGTACTCCGTCTCCCGTTGAGGTAGTAGCGAGTGTAAGTCCGGTCCATCCGGGGCTGCACCCGGGTGGAATGTAGTTCGTCGCTCTCCTTGGTGATGTCGGATCCACTGCGTCTCGGTCTCCTCCCAGAAGTCTTCGGACGATGCCTCGATCCACAATGCCTCCTTGGCGTTTCCCCACGCTGCGTCGCTGACGACCGACACTCTGAGATCTTGCCAGGGAATTGGCATGACCCTGACCGTGATGTCCTTGTGCTTCGCGGCTTCCTCGCTGATCTTGTTGCATTCCACCAGGTCCATGACCCTTGGCTCCGGGAAGCTCTGCTGCAACAGGGCCACCCTACCTGAAAGGTCGCATCTGGTCTCCTTGGCCAGCCAGGACAAGACGCCTAGCCGGTTACGAAGTTGCTCGGTTTCTTGGGCTGTGCACTTAGAGTACCTTTGCTGCTTCCTCTTCCTCGAGAGCACGATCTGCTCCACTTTCTCATCGACATAGAACTCCTGGGAAACCGTGATGGAGCCATCCGCCTGCTTCTTGAAGTCCTTGCCCGTGAAGCGACCCTCGTTGGTCTGGTTCTTGCCCAGCTTGTAGTCCTTCGCAATCCTTTCAATATTCTCCCAGTGCTCCTTGTCGCCTCCGTGTAGTAGATCGTCGGTAGCCACGCCGATGACCCCCTTGAGCCGCAGGTTCTCGTCTTGTCCCCCTTTCTCATGTAGAAGAAACACGCAGGGATCTGCGCGACTCACTGTGTAGCCGTCCTTTAGAAGTCTTTTGGAAAGGTGCTGGTACCAGGCAAAGGGGCCGTCTGTCAGGCCGTAGCAAGTCTTGAGCAGCTTGATGAGTTGCCTTGGGTGGACGCCTGGGATGCCCTCCTTTGGCTGGGTGCAATACAGCTCGCGGTTAATCTGGTCCCCGGAATGGAAGGCTTGAGTGAAGTCCAGGAATCCCGGATCCCATCCCATGCTGGCCAACACCTGGGTGACAAAGATGACGGAGTCCCGGTTCACCTGTGGGGTGGTGCTCTCCACGTCCAGGGCAGCCTCCTCGGAGAAACCTTTCATAACGTGTCTGCACTTTGCCTTGACGGGCTACCTCACTTGGTTCCAGTGGCTTCTTTGTCAGAACGTAGCGCGACTCCATGATCTTCTCCGGCCTCTGCCGCCGGATGAGCTCGGAGGTGACCGTGTCGAGGATCTCGTAGGCGCCGGTTGTCAGGTTGTTGTTGATCTCCTTGAGGATGGCCTTGTGGAGCCTCGTCGCATCCTGCCCGGTGAAATCTTGGGGCCGGGCCTCTTTCTTCTGTCGTTGCTTCGCCAGGTTCTTCAGGTTCATGTGGTAGATCTCTAGAAGTTCCACACGGCTCCTTTTGCCCGGCGGTTCTGCCTCACCTGGCTCGGCTTCTCGCTTGAGTTCTTGCCGGTTCTCTGCCTCGCCGTCCTCTTCCATGTCATTGGGCTCCTGTTCGGGGGCTGCGCGAGGCTCACCTGATGCTTGCCCAGGTTCCGCTTCCTCGGGTCGAGGAACTTCTTCAGGCACCGGGGTGTCGTAGTTCCCGGTTTTCTGTCGTACTCGGCGAATCGGTGCTAAGCCTGGAGGAGGTTCGAGTAGATCCTCCTTGTTTTCTTGAGCGGCTTGGTCAGGATGCTGTTCGTCATCTTCGGGAATCACGTCGGTGTTCTTGGTAAGGTCCAGGAAATTCCGACCGGGGTTCCGCTCGAAGGCCGCTCTAGCCTGAGAAATTCCTCGCATCCAGCCGCTGAGCGAAAGAGACTCTTCCTCCGTCGCAATCCGGACTCGCTCCGGAGCTGCCTTGATGAGGGTCCCCTGGTGGGAGATCCACACCGCGTTTGGAAGAGACGTCATGATAATCCTTCCGGGGCCGGCCCAGTAGGATTCTCGGTCCTTCTTCGTAGTTCCGGCTCCTCGTCTCCAGAAGAAGGCTGCCTGGCCTACTTCGAAGTTATGGTGCCGCCGTGGTCCTGCCAGGGCCGCTGCTCGTAGTGCCTGATCACAGTCTGCCTCGTGAAAGGCCAGGGCCGCTGCCTTGCGCATCTGAGTGGCCTTTGCGACACCAACATCTCCTGCTTGTCGTAGGCTAGCTACCCCTTGGTCCATCTCGGTCCCGGTTAGTAGCCCGCCTGGGAGTCGAGGCGAGTAGCCGATGACCCTTTGGATCGGTGAGTAGCCGGCCCGGAGTAGCAGCCTGTTGCGTGTCATGCACGCTACATCCACCAGTTCTCTCCACTCTTCGGTGCTGTTGCACTTGTACGTCATCATCGCCTTGTAGAGGATGTCCTTGAAGACGCCGCCGGCTCTCTCCGTGAGTCCCCGTTGGGTTGGGGCCTCCAAGGCTCCAGGGACGGTCTCAGACCCGTCGGCCTCGATTTGCCTTTTGAACTCCGCCTTGAACTCCGAACCCAGGTCCAGCATCACCTTCTTGGGTGGTCCGAAAAATCGGACCCATTGCCTGTAGGCCTTCCTTGCTGCTGGTGCGTTCTCTGCCTCCATTGGCACCACCAGTTGAAAGTGGGAGTGCCAGTCGATGATGTTCAAGGCAGGGATAGATCTCTTCTGATGATCCCGTAGGTGTACTGTATCAACACCCACAAGGTCGTTAATGAAGAGCTCTTCGCGAGGTGGTGCACCTTGTCGGGCTGCAGCAGGTAGCTTGTACGCCTCGCAGACCGAGCACCGCAGCTTCTTGGCAATCTCAATGACTTCTTCGCTTGCCTTGGAGTGCCGGAGTATTCGGATAAAACGGTTCGTCTCGGGGTGTCCGAGGCCTTCATGAGCTCGCTGTACCATTCGTTCCAGCGAGATCTTCTGCATGCCAGGAAAGTTCTGCATATGGCGGCTCGGTCGTCCGTCAATTCGCTTCTGGAAGATCACAACTAGTTTGCCGCCGTGGGGTAGGTGTCTTTCTGGCTGATGTAGTTCTTCCCATCGAATCTCGTCCTCCATCAGCTGCCACGTCCTGTCCTCTCTCTGCCTCCACGTAGTACGCCAGGGAAAACCTCGACAAAGTTCGTAGTCGTCAGGCTTAGGGATCTTCTCCGGGTCCTGCAAAACGACCGCCACCATGTTGGCATTCTCTAGCTGATGGGCGCCCTCCTGCTGTAGCATCTCCTCACTGACTCCTTGCTCCTTTGGACCTGTGACCATTGGTGCCTGATCTACTTCGATCTCACCTGCCAGGACCTCATAGGACTTCCCCTCGTTGTGCTTCGGATTCTTCTGGTAATCCTGGAGCTGGTAATCTACGATGTTCTGGGACTTCCCCTCATTGTGCTTCGGATTCTTCTGGTAATCCTGGAGCTGGTAATCTATAAGGTTCTGGGACTTCCCCTCGTTGTGCTTTGGATTCTTCTGGTAATCCTGGATCTGGTACAGCTCGCCTTCAGTGAAGTAGTGTAGGTCGTGGGCACTGTCCTCTTGTAGAAGTTCGGAAAAATTCTGCACCTTCATCTGTCCAGCTCCCTTCCCCTTGACTTGGCCATAGGCTCGCTCCACCTTCGCGCCCTTGAGGATCAGCCGGCTTACCTCAGCATCATTGCTAATGATCTGGTACGGCTTCTGGGTCGCGGTGTTGTTGTTCAGAAAGAGTTGGTAGGAGACGGCCAGGCTGGTCACGAATTTCTGCCACCATGTGGGAACCCTCATAGGGACTTCTAAGAGACACACTGCCTGATTTCTATCACACCATTGCACAATCACGTTTGTGGCACTTTCAACCGAACGTTGCATTCGTCTATTGATCATGCGATGGAAGAGGGTCCCGATGCTTGGGTTCTTGCTGTCTGAGCTACGTTTAGCTTCTTGAAAGACGGTGGCATCGGTGACATAGAGGTGCACGAGACCTGGCCGATCATGCTGCAGGACACTCTCAAGCGACTTCAGACTGTTGGTCAACTGGAAGTGCTCGCTTAAACATACCCGTAAGCAGCAGCTGGAATTCAATCCGGATCTCCTGTTCAAGGGCTTGGGCTTGGCAAGCTGATCAATCTCATTGACGTCTAGCTGTAGGAGTTCACTGTATAGGTGCTTGCTTTGCTTACTCATGCCACTCTTGTGCTCGCGCAGGAAACGTTCTTTTAAGACTCCAAGCTGGTCATCGTTGTCGGTGGTTGTAAGGCACGTGCACAGATCGGTCCACATCTGCTCGGTCCTTTTCAAATTGGAAGACATCTTCCGCCCGGCGCTGGCGGGAAGGTGTTGTTCTAGGGATTGCCCTTCCGGTAGTTGTTCCGCATGGCCCGGAAGCGAAGAAACTCTTCGTACTCCTCCTCCTCGGTCATCTCCGGCACATCGGGGCGTCCGGATCCGCGGGAGGATGCCGCACTTGTCGGGCTTGCCGTCACTGGTCGGTTCACCGGTGCCGGCGGAGGCGGTCCATTGCGCTTGGTGTGGATCGCCGCGCTTGGGCATGGCCTCGTTTGTTCCACGACCGTCTCCAGTCCCCGGTAGGCAACCTCGGCCGCCGTAGTCGACTCCCTGTTCAGCACCTTGCCGCAGTCCCGGCACTTGCTGATCTTTTGCCATCCGTTGGATCCTTGGTAGGTGATGTTCCGGTGGGAGCATTCCATGGAAGCCGTCGTGGTAGTCGACCTTCGGCTTCGAGTTGAGCATTCCGACTCTGTCGGCGAGGGCGTCTTGTCCGGAATCGGTGCGTGAGGATGCTTCCGTCCTCGGGCCCTGTCCTGGTAGTAGTCCAGGACGGGCTAAACGGCCACGTGTCTGCGGCCACGTGTTCAACGGCCGTGTGGCGTCGTCCGGCCTCGTGGCGCTTCGCGGCGCCCCCTTGTCGTCGCGATCCGCGGGATATATGTCGTCGTGAACCGGGGCACACCCGCAATAAATACGGTCCAATACAATAGATGAGAGAACACTGGCAAATATTGACATACTCATATGTTGTTGCATCAATAAAGTATATGTTCACATAAAAGATATTGTGGAATTAATTGATTGTAGATTATTCAAACTTGAATTAAGTTAAATATATATTTGTGCCAGACGCGCGCGTGCAGGCGCACTTGTTTGAATATAATGTATGTATAAGTATATAAGATATATATGCAGGTATTTTCTTAATATATGGTGTATTTGTAATTATAATCGGTATGAAGACTATA